CAGGGTCTCTGCCCTCCACCAAGGGACGTGGTCCCTGACACAGGCTGTGCCAGCCTCATCTCTGAGCCTTCACCCCTTCCAAGTCTCACCAGGTGAGGGCAGCCCCCTCGCTCAGAGGGACCTGAGGGAGTGGGGGGTATGGAGGTCTCCCAGAAACAGCGTCTCAGAAGGGAGAAAGATGGAGATGGAAGGCAAGGTGGCGGCCAGGGCCAACCCAGAGCATCTATGCTATCCAGTCCCCAAAGTTCAGGAGCATTTTTCTACAGAACCTTCCAGAATTCATGCCGAATATCAACAACAGAAAGGCAGCAAAGAAGACAGATCCGTGATCTGCCTGTGGCTTGGCTGCCCATGGGCCAGGATGCCTGCTGCGACCACCAGGGAGACACAGGGACCAACGTCCTTTGTGAAGGATGCAGGCACTGGCTTTGCAGAGCTGCCCTCCTAGCAACTTAGGGATGGGAGGGTGGTGGGAAGCAGGACCCGCCCAGACACAGGTGCAGCGGATTGGAAGGTGTGGGTAAGGGCCCCCTATGAGGGCACAGGGCCTGCTCCTGGGCAGCCTGGCACATCCCAAATATACACTGGGCACCAGGGAAGTGGCCCACTCAACCCGCGAGGAGATGGGCTCAGACCCGGACTCGAGTCCCACTGGAGCTGGAGCCATAGTGGCCCTGTGGCCCCCGGAGTGAGCGTCAGCTCAAACCTGGATCCAGCAGTCCTCCAGGTCTGCAGGTGCACACTTGGGATGGAGCCAATTGGGTCCATGCTGTGGGGGCTTGGGGGACAGAAGAGGCAAGGTCAGACTAACAGCACAGCCCCATCGCCAGTGGGCCCAACACCTGGCTTCAGTGCCTATGGAACTCCCCGGGGCTCTCCCCAGGACCCCAGCCGCCAGTCACCACAAGGCTGTCATCCTTACCAGCCCCAAAGGCGCACACACCCGAAGGAGCCCAAGCTGGCGCTGCAAGTCAGGCGGGAAAGGCCCAGGCTGCAGTTGCTTGCCGGGGTCACCCCTTGACTATAACTGAAGTGCCCAGCAGGGCAGGAAAGGACCACAAAGAAGGTCAGGGCCAGAGCCATACCCAGCAGTGAGGGGAACCCCGGGCACAGCCAGCCAGAGTCCACAAGCTTCCAGGAGGGGAGAAGGAGACTGTGAACCCAAGGAGGGGACCCAGTAGAGAAGGCCCAGCACCCAGAGCAAGAGGCAGGCTCAGTGGACCCCTGGCCCTGCCATGCAGCCAGGCCCTCCCCACCCAGGCTGCGTGGCTGAGGCCAGAGGACCTGTGTAGACCCACTGGCCAGTGACTGCACAAGAACGCCAGGCAACTTACTAACTCTAGTCAGGCGGCTCAGAATCTGGCCACTTCCACATCGGCGCTGCAAGGAAACACAAGGCTCAGTTGGAGGCGGCATGAGGTCTGAGGACTCGGGGTTGCAGAGGAGGGGGAACCACGGGCGAGCTGCCAGGAGACCGAGAACCCTGGAGCACTTGGGAGTCGGCACAGAGCTGGGGCTCTGGCTCTCCCTGGACGGCGCCTGCGGACCCGGCCTCACTTGCCGGCCTGGAGAGAGCCAGGAGCCTGCCTCAGCCGCAGGTGGCCCCGCACTTTCCCCTGGGGTGGCGGGGCCCCCGCAGAGCCCCGGCACAGTGAGTGACTGTCACTGGGCCAGCACTGTGTGCAAGCCCAGGTGATCTAGCAGGCGACTGAGTGCCAAGAAAATACCTGGCAGAGGCAGGCACGAGGCGGGGCCCCCACGGCCCAGACGCACGCCAGGAACCGGAAGGAGGTCCATACCCAACTCGTGCAATAAATAAAACTTTTATTCAAACAAGTAACTGCAGTACAGGGCACAATTCAGATTTTTTAAAAAAGGAAAGGAAACAGGAAAAAAATATGTTCAGCACTTTACATCTTCATACAAGTGTTGCTGTTTTGTGTCTACATTCATCCATTGAGCATGGAATCCCCTGGATTTGAAATCTTTAGCGGAGCGAGAACGCCGGCGCGGAGGGGTCTCTACATAGGGCCCGGTCCGCCCTCGAGTTCCCCTTAACCTCAGGCGGTCCGCGTCTGGAGCTGCTTCCCACACAAACCAGGCCACACCCCAGGCCACGGGGAGGTGTGCGGGAGGCTTTTGCTAAACCACATCAGATAAAGGAGCGTCGCAGCTTCCCAGGGGCTCCCACCAGCAGGCAGGCTGAGCCGGGCTGTGCCCTGCACTCAATTCCCCAGAGTTCAGTGTGTGAAGAGAGAATACCAGTAACCACTGAGTCCACTGTGTTTGTTTCTAAAGTCACCAAGACACACAAAAAGACGAGAGCGTTTAGGAAGAACCAGGCAGGAACCGCCTGTCTCCCCCAGGTGGGGGGTGTGGGTGCGACGTGCCCAGAGCTGCCCTCCCCCGGCCGGGCCTGGCCCACACACCCTGCCCCGAGCAGCCAGGTAGCCCGGGGCAGCCTTGATGCCCTCACAAGGCTGGTCAAAGGAATGTGGGGGTGGGGTGGTCGCTGGAGGTCTTTGGAGTGTCCGTGTGTGGCCAGCCGGGCAGCGCCTGCCCCCGACCTTGCTCCTGCCGGTGCCCGACGGGAGGCGAGGCCACTCTGCCACGCTGCTCTATGTACACTTGGCCCGCAGCGTCCGGAGGGAGAAGCCCTCAGGTGCCCGGGCCCGGCCTCCCTCACAGGAGCGGCCGGCTTCCTCAGGAGGCCCCTCGAGCTTGGCACGAGCCCCCTTTCTCTGTGCAGCCCTCCACAGGGTCCGGGGTGACCAGGGACCCCAGCACCTTCCCTGTCTGGACAGAGGCCTTTGCGCTGGGAAAGTCGGATGCGAGATAACAGCGCACACCAGAGTCCATGCAGATCGGTTTTTGTTTTTCAGGAAAAAAAAAAAGTCCTTTTTCCTGTTTTTTGTTTTTTGTTTTTTTTTTTTTT